CAATCCGTCGACCTACAGTTCGATGGGGAGGTCAACGGAGCGTCCCGTCGAACTACAGCTCGACCGGGAGGACAACGTAGCATCCCGTCGAACTACAACTCGACCGGGAGGACAACGAAGCATCCCGTCGAACTGCAATTCGACCGGGAGGACGACGGAACAGTTCCGTTCGACGGAAGGGGTCCGTCGACCAAGGGGTAGCTTGACGGGAGGTGTTGTCGACCAGGAGCGCCCGGTGGTCGACCAGAGGGACCCAGTGGTCTACGGGAGGCACCTAAGAGTCGACCAGAGCACCAGGGGTCGACCAGGTCGACCGGGTAACCTGCTCGATGAGTTCTGCGGAGGCACGCGAACGTCGTCGAGATCGCGATGGCGCAGGTGACTTCGGGCTGGTATCCCGAAGTCGATGTGGCTCGTCAGGCACAGACAACGGCCGACGGATGCCCAACGAGGCAAGTCGGGCCAATCGTCTGCGCACACCTGTGAGCGCGCGCACTGCTGTGTTCTACGAGGTCGCCCTTCTGCAATGCTGGCGCGGCTCCTCTACGCAATGCTGGCAGGCGGACGACCGAGCTGCGTTGGCGGTCGACCAGGCTAGCTGCAGGATTGCTAGGTGCCTGATGTAGTCATTGTTGTCATTGCTCCTTGGATCATTCTGGAATTCCAACTATGCTAGTGGAAACTCTTGCTTAATCCTACCGTGAATGTGCAAACACTAAGGAACTAAGCAAAGCTAAGCTCACCTCTAGTAGTTCGTGCCAACCTTTGTAGTCTAGCTCACTACCGTTGTAGAGTTAATCTCCGCAAGCAGCATGTCTGACAGGTGAGTACACTCGATGTTTGTTATTTTTACGAGATGCGAATAAGTTGTTCCACTGTCGTAAGTTTGTGTGCGTAAAGTTTCCATAACCTATTTTGCGTTTCGCACAGCGATGTTGGCCACATTCAGGTACCGAATCGAAATGTTTGGTTGAGCGAAATCGCTCATCTCTTCCCCCCACTACAACGTGTGCATAAATACCGTTTCGTAACCCTAAAAAGGCGGAACTTAGCGCGCTCAAAGTGTGCGCGAAACACAGAGCGCATACTTTTCGCAGAGGGAAACTTTTTCCCCTGTAACAAAGGGCGCGTTACTACTCTGATCCTCGATTTTCGACCCTGAACAATCAGAGTTATGTACTTTTCAACCCTGAGCAATTAGAGTAGCATTATTCTGAAAAATGTGCACTCATAATAGAGGGGAAAAATTTTCCCTGGAATCAGGGAGGCCTAATATGAAACGTCAGCCCTGGCCGTTGTTCGCCCGTTACTGCTAACGGGGCTTCGCCAACTTCGCGCGCACTGTTTCACCAAACCTCGCATTGCTGGAGCAGCCGAGTCGACCCACGCTTCGGGACTGGCCCGGACCTCGCGCTAGCGTAGCACTAGCTAGCTCGCATGCACTGCGTTACCGTTTGCACATTTTCGTGTATAAGTATTCGCGCATGCTTTCGCTCATACTTGTACTCTTTGAACACTCTAGTGCAATCCTAGCTACCTAGATTCATTGCACCCGTAACAACTATTGGAGGAGGAAGACCTGAATACTTTTGAAACTTGCAGATAACAACTGCTACATTTGAGCTGGAACTGGACCAGGTCATTCCAATTGCTCCGTAGCACGAATATACCCGGCGCAAATCTGGTTACTCTCGGGGATCTCCCGCGTGACACGAAGCAAGAGCTGACGCGGAATCGTGGAGGAGTTTCGCGAAAGATATTCCTCCTGCTCTACACCCCCCTTTGAGGGAAATTTGAAGTGGGGCCGAGGTGGGCTGGCAGTCGACGTGTTCAATTCTGCCCTTGAATCACGGATGTTAGTGGGGTGACGTGTGAGTCCTTGGTTGCTCATCTCCCCCCCACCCGCCCTCCTTTTTCAACGAACTACATCTTCCTCAATTCAAACCAGACATCGCTGTCAATTTTGCCAACTTCACATCTTCAGACAGTGACATTTTCGCTGTCTGGTCATCTTACACAAACATGGCAGGTGAAGTCGTCGATGGCGAGACGCCCGTGAAAGCTGTGACCTTCAAGTCTCTCCACCCTATTCTTTCCATTGATCCTCCGAGAGCTGGCGAAGCCGTTGCGTGGTATAAGGATGTCTTCGGCTTTGAGGAGGTGGCAAAGATTTACGGCAAGAGAAAGGCTGGTCAGGATGAGCCTCTGATTGATCACGCTCATCTGAAGCTCGGAGATGTGGAGATCAAACTTGCAGATGACACTGGTCACGGGGCCACCGTTGAGTAAGTTCAGTCAGCCATGACGCCGTCGCGTGTATCGTTCTTTCTCAATTGCGTTTCCTTGCCGTAATTGTAGGTGCTGTCTGTTTCCTAACTACTGATTTCTGCCTTGTTTTACCTAATTTGGCTGCACGCAAGCCAGAGTAGTGTGTGACTACCATGCTCTTCGTTAATTTCTGACCCTAATCGTTCTTCTGGTGCAGGGGTGGCAAGAGGCCTCCATCAGCATTGAAGGGAACTACATTCACCATTCAAGTCGAGTGCAGTGATCCAGATCCCGTTTTTGCCAAGGCTATTGCCAAGGGAGCAAAGGCGAGTCTGGAAGTGTCTGAACAGGACTGGGGTCGTCGTTATGGCAAGTTCATCGACCCTTTCGGTTTTGAGTGGGGCTTGTTGAAGCCTGTCGAGACCAAGGAAGATGCTAAGGCAGAGGCCGAGAATGGCGAAAAACCAGCTGAGGCAGAAGCCCCGAAGGAAGCTGCTAAAGAATGACTGATTTCTAATACGATCCTGAATCGCGAAAGTCGCTCTTGCGTGCTGGAGAGGCATTAACAGCCCTGACGGACGCCCGTTGGCTTTCATTCTCATACTGAAAAGGTACCTTCTGGTTGTTGACTGCGTGTTGCTCCATCTGCATTGTCTGGAGATGTGTTCCTGTACATGAATCCAGGCATGAATGCTGTGATGACTAAGCTTACTACGAACTCTAAATTACGCCAGTAAACAGGATCTTGGCCATCCTTGACAGTACACCGAGCTTAATGCGAACTATATCCTAGGTAAGCAGCATACAGTAGGTCTTTGCAGCCTTGGAACGATGATGACACCTATCTTGAGACAGCAGCATTAACCGTAAGAAGATAAGAAAGTGTCCTCTGGTACTGAATTTGCACAATACCCAGGATAGGTGAAGCATGTCAGTTGAATAATTGTGCTCCTCACATCCCACTGAGCTTAAACTGGTTAGGGCCACTTGGACAAATCTTGAGACCTGCCATCTTAACCAGGGGTTTTCTAGGAGAGTAAAGTTCTTGCCACCTCTAAAATATTATAATTTTTATAAGTGTAACACTTTTTCAAATTTCGTATTGTGAAAGCGAGGACGTGGCCAGCAAAGCAAAGGTAGCGGCTCGACGCTACTCACCCCTCTTTTGCCTACAAAAGAGGGACGTGGGTTCAGTCGCCTTCACCCACGTTCTTCATTTCCAACTTTTATAGTTTACTTTCCCACCACCCACCCCATTGTGTATCATTTATGAACGAGAACGTTGTATTACCCACTTGGAATGAAGCACGCTGCCCCACTTGGAATGAAGCACGCTGCCTTTGCAAGATGGACTAAGCAAGCTTTCACAATCTGAAGTAAAACGGTCAAGATGGTGGCATTCTGTACATTCCCTCACCACACAGGATCACAAAGCGGAAACTTAGATGAAGGCGATTTGATACCAAAACAATTTAGGGGGTAAAAAGGGTGGTAATAATAATATTAATAATTAAAGGAACCGCTGTGTATGATCATTCAGGCGTGTGTGATGCAGACAGGTAGGCACGGTTAAATCGTTCTGTGTAAATAAGATAACTTGAATGCGTTGATACTCCAATATAGCCTACATACGGTATTGCCCTACATCCACTCCATCTGAGTTTGAAAACCTTGATTGAGTAATGAAGCGTCATAGGCGGTGGTTGGATTTGCCTAGCACCCTCCGATATTCTCGATTTTGGTTCGTGGCACCAGTGCATGGTGACGCAAGCCGAATTTCATTATTACGCGTGGCGCGATGTGGAGCCCTGCTTGCCGTGGCGCCCTCCCTGAAACGCTCCACCCCGTTGTGTATTGGCCAAAGGTGACGTGTTGGTTTGGGGCAAGCTATCGGCTGGCACGGCACGTCCAAGGTCACACACCAACCAGACGGGGTCAATCGAGGCTGTTTGATTGCGTCGAGCCCTCACCAAACATCAAACCTGTCAGAAGCGTTTCTTTGGCTGCCCCAACAGTATCCACCTCCCGTCGGTCTGAGCACAGGGAGTAAAGATGTGGAGTGGAGTGATCCATGTAGGGTTAGCAGCCAATGGCATGCAGTTGTACTAGCTTGATAACGGGCAGGAAAAATCAAGGCTAGTCGAAAAAGGTGAGATCATAACGTGGGGGAGTGGAAGGGGGAGCAGCCGAGGCGAGGCGAGGTGGACGGACAGGCTTGTTGAAAGATTGGCATGGCATGCCAGAGCCTCTTTAGCAGTCGACAGAATCAGAGTCTCACAGCAAGGTGGACTAGCTGGGGGAAGGGGAGTGGGAGGGTCGTCGTCTCGTTGTCTCCTTTGACAGCGACGAGGGTTTTTATGCAACGGCTGTTGGCTGTTGTATGCCAGCAGCAGTTCGTTTGTTTCTATTTCTCCCTAGTTTGATCTGTGAGGAGACTGAAGGTGCGAGTACAGCGGCTTTTTAATTCCTAGTCTAGTTCTACGAAAGCCCTTAGCAACGATTGAAGCAGACTGTTTGTAGCCGTTTTTTTAAATCGCCTGGCTCGTAGAGGTTTCGAACACGCGGTTGTTGTTGCTTTTTGTGTAGTAGCAGCTCTTGTGTCACCTTCTAGTTCTTAGTCATCAGCGATGGCTCGTGATGGGGAACAGGGTTCCGCGGATTGCCACCAGCCAGAGCGAAGCATACTCTGCGTGAATAACTGCGGTTTCTTCGGCAGCGCAACGACGATGAACATGTGCTCCAAGTGTTATCGAGATTACGTGCTTAAATCGTCTCACGTTGCAGCATCGTCGTCCGCCTCCGCAGCACCCTCTGGGAAAGTGTCTGGCGCTGGTACTACTCTTCTCCACGTGAAACCATTTTTTTCCCCCCCTACCGCGTGGTAGTCTGCCTGTTCGTGTATTCGCCACTTTTGCGCTTCTGCTGTGGGCCTCCGCTGGATTTCGTCCAGCCTTGTAGATTCCATAATTTCAGTAGAATTTTGATGACCGCGCTTACCGTCCTCCACTGCCTCCTTAAGTCTCTCCCACTCGCTCTCTCTCGCTCTCGCTTGCTCTCTCTCGCTCTCGCTTTCTCTCTCGCTCTCTCTTTCTCTCTCTCGCTCTCTCTCACTCTCTCTGTCTCACGCTCGCTCTCCCTCGCTCTCGCCCTTTCTCACTCTCGCCGTCACTTCCTCTCTCGGTTTCGGTCTCGCTTTTACTCTCTCTCGTCCCCCGCCTTCTCATGCGAATGTATTAATCGCTGAGTTTATTCGGGCTGCCTTTCTTTCAACTTTCTGCGAACCACCAGGATCCATGGACGTTGACGTGTCAGGCAAGTCGACATCAGAGATTCCATCGATAACACAGCCATCCACCACCACCGCCTCCACAGCAGCAGCAGCTGCAGCAGTAACCGCGTCCGCTGCAGCCGCTGCCTCGGCGGCTGCTGCCGCTCCTCCCTCGCAGCCTGGTGCCTCTCAGCCATCTGCTCCCAACCGCTGCTTAGTGTGCAAACGGCGGGTGGGGCTCACAGGGTTCAAATGTCGCTGCGAAGGTCTCTTCTGCTCCCTCCACCGCTACTCGGATAAGCACGAGTGCTCGTTTGACTACAAGGCGGCAGGTCGTGAAGCCATTGCTAAGGCCAGCCCGGTGATAAAGGCGGACAAGATAGAACGGTTCTGAAGCAGTTCCTGCGTGCCTCATGCATGATTCGTGCATGATTTCTCGTGCAAGGTTCTTCAGCGTCAGCAGCACGTGTATTGATCCTGATTCCTGATTCTGCAGAACAAGGTAGTCTCAGCTTTTGACGGTTCAGGAGGTGGACTTCCGGTGTGAGGGATGCAATGGGTGTATGGAGGATGGAGGAGTTGTGTGAGTGGATGGATTCATGACAGTGATTGCACAGAATAGTGGTTGTGTAGAGATACAGTCTCAGTGTTTGGACAGCTGCCTGGACCAGCATGTACATCTTTTCCTTGTCAATCTGCTCATTCTTTTGTGTCTACCGTACTAAAAGATTCTGCTCCTAGCCAGTTCCCATCAAACTCCCAGTACCGCGTTTGTGTGGTGTCTTGAATACTTGCCTACTATAGTTTTGCTGGCAGCCTGGCCCACAGCCTGGCCCGTTTCTCTTTAAACTAGATGAATACGGTATGTGGGTACTGTATGTGAGAGCAGCAATACAAGCAGAGAATAAAAGTGATAATGCTTCACAACAAATGAACCATTCCTAACATACAAATTCAATGTTAATAAGCGCCGTGCCCCAGCACTCCCGCATTACTAGGAAACACCATTCCCATGGCTGCATCATTCTGGGCACCCCTCAACTTGAGAGGGTCTGGGCTGCGCTGCAGCCTTCTCAACCGCCTGTCCTGCTCATTCCGCCCTGGGAATGTAGGCTGCCATGCAATACGGTAGCAGGAAGAAGGAAGTTGGAGATGCAATGGGAATGCTCAGTCATCCTAATCAAGCACATCTCAGAGACAAGATGCAGGCAGGCAGGATAGGTAGGGTGGGGACTGACCATGAGCTCTTGAGCCTTGGGAAGAGGCACCTCCCTGAACCACTCATGCTGCAGTGCCTCGGCTGCTGTGATGCGCTGGTGCACGGCAGGGCAGGGCAATCAAAGGGAAGCCGAAAGTCAAGGGGGGGAGGAGAGACCATACGGTGTTGATCATGCTTTCACCACTTACAGTGGATGCAGCAGATGGGGCAGAGAGCAGATGGAGCAGACGGAGCAGATGGAGCAGACGGAGCAGATGGAGCAGACGGAGCAGATACACACGCGTTCAACAGAAAACAGCCTAGAAGCCTCCCAGTGAAACGACAGTGAAAGAATAGTTTGGCTAGAAGTAATGGGATGCCAACTCAGGTGAGAAAACACGCCACAGCGTCCAGCCCTTTCCCGACCCCCACCCCCCTAACCCTCATTCTTCTTAAAAAATAGGCACAAAAGCACACACACCCCCACACGTCAAATACACACAGGTTCTTTGCATGCACGCATAGGTCTTAAACATGCAAGCACAGCAGTTCTTAAACACGCATGCAGAGGTCCCACACCTTGGTGGGGTCGTATGTGAGCATGCGGTTGAGCAGGTCAAAGCCAGCATCGGAGAGAGCAGGCTTGCCGCCAAACGCCACCGCTGGGAAGCGCTCCCTCAACCGGTTGTACCTGCTCGTGGGGGGGGGGGGTGGTGGGTGGTTGAATGATAATGGGGATGGAAGGGGAAGCGTGGGGAGAGAGGGGGTGGGGGTGATAATGGTGGGAGGGGGAAGGGGATGGGGATGGGGGAGAGGATGAGGGTAAGGGCAGAGGTGAAGGGGAAGTGATGGGGGAGGAATGAGGAGGGTGTGAAAGGGGAGGCAGCGAGAAACTGGAGTATGATGCAAAAAAAAACCTGCGAGATATTTTTTTGCTTAGGATGGTTGATAGTACAACGTGTGCTGTACAGTACACGTGCATTTGTGTCCCTACTCGAATGATCCTATCGAGTAGTAGTGTACATCATTCCTGCAGCACAATCGTGCATGCGCATGCGTGCCGATGTGCATTCGCGTCGTGCGTCGTGCGTGTGCATGTGCGCATGCCTACCTGCATGTGTGCATGGGTCCATGGGTTCATGTGCGCACGTGTCAATGCGTGCATCCGTACACGTGTGCATGTGTATGCGCGTGCATGCATGCATGCGTGCATGTGTGTGTGTGCGTGTGCGGTGCAGCAGAGGCACACGACTCACGGCTGGCGGACGAAGCTGACTCGCTTCACACTGGGCAGGTGCGCGAACTCCGGCCAGATCTTCTCCGTGGGCGTGCCCAGCAGCTTGAATATCTGCGGCGGACAGGACGGAGAAATCGCAACGACAAGGTGTGAGAACATCGTGGGGGGAGAAGGTGTGTGAGGAGAAGGCGTGAGGAGAAAGTGTGAGGAAGAGGCAAGACGGGGCACTCGGTGAAAAAAAAAGGAGGATAGAGGGAAGTATGGAGGGAGAAGCAGGCATGACAGGGTTTTGAAACGCAGGAGAATTAGACACCGGGAGATAGAAGGGGAGGTGGAGAAAGGGAGGCAGGCCCAGAGAGAGAAAGACAGAAGATAAGGAGAGAGAAGAGGCGACAAGGAGCCAGGTTTGATCGGTAGGCTTCCACTACTCCGTCACACACCATCCCACTCCATCCCACCCCATCCCACCCCATCCCATCCCATCCCAGGCCAGGGCACCTTGTCGATCTGGTCGAGTTCGGACTTGCCGGGCAGCAGGGGCTCCTTGCACAGCAGCTCAGCCATGATGCATCCCACAGACCACATGTCCACGGCCGTCGAGTACTTGCGCACCCCCAGCAGCAGCTCCGGCGCTCTGTTGGGTGGGGGTGAGGGTGCGTGTGTGTGTGCAGAGAGGGGTGGGTTGAGGCGTGCACACAACCATGATGCATCCCACGGACCACATGTCCACTGCTGTCGAGTACTTGCGCACCCCCAGCAGCAGCTCCGGCGCTCTGTTGGGTGGGGGTGAGGGTGCGTGTGTGTGTGCAGAGAGGGGTGGGTTGAGGCGTGCACACAACCATGATGCATCCCACGGACCACATGTCCACTGCTGTCGAGTACTTGCGCACCCCCAGCAGCAGCTCCGGCGCTCTGGCAGGTGCGAGGGGTGTGAGTGTGTAAAGAAGGGGGGGGGGGGGGGGGGGGGTTGGGATGTATGATCGGATGGATGAGGCGTGCACACAGCACAGCACAGCACAGCACAGCACAGCACAGCACAGCACAGCACAGCACAGCACAGCACAGCACAGCACAGCACAGCACAGCACAGCACAGCACAGCACAGCACAGCACAGCGCAGCGAAGCGCAGCGCAGAAACTGAGAAACCGACCGGGGGACAGAGACATGCCGGGGACTTTACAAGCCAGCCCCCACCCCTGCTTCCCTTACACCCTCTTCCTGTCCCCTGCAAAACCACCCACAGACCCCCGTGAAAACCACCCACAGAACATTCCGCAAAACCCCCCACAAACCCCCCGCTAAAGCTCCTCATAGCTGCCTTGGTTCCTGCCTGCCTGCCCTCCCCCCAGCGCACCTGTACCAGAGTGTGACGACCATGTGCGTGTAGGCACGCAGCGGCGACCCGTACTGGCGTGCGAGGCCAAAGTCGCAGATCTTGAGCTCGCCACGGTTGTTCATCAGCAGGTTGGACGTCTTGAGGTCCCTGCTCGCGGAGGGAGGGGGGGGAAGGAGGCCAGGGGGGTGGGGTGGCGCAGAGTGTTAGTTTTCGGTCGGCTAAAACAACACTGTGAACTCGCCGCGGTTGTTCATCAGCAGGGTGGACGTCTTGAGGTCCCTGCTTCCGAAGGTGGGTACCAGAGGGGGTGGGGAGAAAATGACTTTGAGCGGACTTCCAAAGTTATCGTCAGCTCGCCACGGTTGTTCATGAGCAGGTTGGACGTCTTCAGATCCCTGCTCCCCGGGGGCGACGAGGGGGGTTGGTGGGTGGGTGGGGTGGCTGAGAATGTTATGTTAGTTCTAGGCCGACTGAAACGACACCTGGAGCTCACCCTGGTCCCCCGGTTGTTCATCAGCCGGTTGGTCGTCTTCAGATCCCTGCTCGTGACAGGGTGGGAGGGCGCATGGGAGGCGGCATGTGAGAGAGGAATACCTTTGGGAGGGGGAGGGGAGGGGAGGGGAGAGGGAAGTGGGGGGGGGGGAGGAATGGGGGCGGAGGGGAGATGCAGAGGAAGGATCTAGCAATAATGGAGCAAGAGGACTGAAGGTTTTGAGCGTTGCAGAAGCTGGAGTAGAGTTCACCCCGAGACTGCAAGTTTGACGTCTTAAAGATCGTAAGTCGATGGGGCTGTGCAGCAACCCCAGCACACCCACCTGTGCAGCACCCCCAGCACACCCACCTGTGCAGCACCCAGTTATCGTGCATGTAGTCGACCCCGCTGAGCAGCTGCAGCATGAGGCACTTCACCTCACTCGGACTGAACGCCTGCTTCATGCTCTCCATGAGGCTCTTCACATCGTGGTCCATATACTCCATCACCATGAAGATACTATCCACACTGCTCCCCACCACCACCTCCCGCACGCCCACCACCGCCTCATGCTGCAGCGACAGCAGGATGTTGATCTCCCGGAGGGACGTCAGCGGGAAGCCTTCTTTCTCCCGCTCCATCTTGACCTTTTTGAGGGCCACTACTCGCCCGGTCTTCTTGTCGCGCGCACGGTACACCACCCCGTAGGTCCCCTCGTCGATGCGGTTCAGGCGCTCGAACTCGTCCACGCTGCGGCAACCCCCGCTGCTGCGGAGGAGGGAGATGAAGCCTGCCACGCCTGCTGCCTCCCCGCCCTTGGCTGCTGCTGCTGCCGCCGTCGCCGCTGCCACTGCCACTGCCACGGACCTATCCCTCTCGTCCCGCTCATCCCGCTCGTCTCTCCCGTCTCTCCTGTCCCGCCCGTCCCCCCGTGCTCTTCCTGCTGCCCCTCCTCGACCTGCTCTCCCCCGTCCTCTCGGGCTATCCCCCCCTCCTCTCCCTCCCCCACCATCACCATCGCTATCCCCACTCTCATCACTCTCCCGGCTCCACCACCGCCCCTCCCCTCGCCTGCCCCTGTACCCACCATCATCCCTCCCCGCCCTCCTCTCTCCGTAATACCTCCCATCATCCTCATTCTCCTCCTCGTCACTGTCCCGCATGGCCATGCTGCCCTGCTCGTCCCCACTGCCCCCGCCATCCCCCACGCCGTTCGCCAGCTCCTCTAGCTCGCGCCGATTCAGCTCCCGCTCATAGTCACTCTCGCCCCCCCCCTGCTTCCCCCACTCTTGCTTCCCCCACTCTTGCTTCCCCCCCTCTTGCTTCCCTGCCTCCTGCTTCCCTGCCTCCTGCTTCCCTGCCTCCTGCTCCTCCCCTTCCTCCTGCTTCTTTCCCTTGTGCTTCCCTCCCTCTTGCCTATCCGTCCCCTGCCTCGCTGAGTCTTGTCTCCTCGCGCCATGTCTACCAACGCCCTTCTTACTGACCTTTCCACGCTTGTCGTCTCTGCCGCTGCTACTACTACTACTACTGCTGCTGCTGCTGCCACTGCCACTGCTGCTGGCGCTGCTGCTGCTGGCACTGCTGCTGGCGCTGCTGCTGCTGCTACTCCTGCCCCGCTTTCGCCTCCGCTTCTCACGCCTCTCATGCTGCTGTCCTCCGCCCCTTCCTTTCGCCTTGCCCTTCTTCCCCCTTTTGATCGCCTTGGGTTGCCCCTTCCTACCACTTCTATCTCCTATCCTCTCACCACCATCATCACCATCATAATCCCCGTCACCATCATTCCCCCCCGCCCATCTGTTTCCCAGCAGACCCATCATGGAACCCTGCTGGTCAATGCCTCGCAGCGACTTGGGAATCCGCCTCTCCTGCTCGTCAAACTCCACAAACCCACCCTCCTCCTCATCCTCATCATCATCCTCATCCTCATCCTCCTCTCCCTCCACTTTTTCCTCCTTCCCCTCACCCTTCTCTCCCTCCTCCTCCACCTCCTCCTCCTCCTCCTCCTCCTCCTCCTCCTCCTCCTCCTCCTCCTCCTCCTCCTCCTCCTCCTCCTCCTCCTCCTCCTCCTCCTCCTCCTCCTCCTCCTCCTCCTCCTCCTTCGTAACCCCACGGGCATCACCATTGGGAGTGATAGACCCATCAGCGTTATCAGCAATATCAGTGTTGCTATCACCTCGGTTGCCGTCACCACTGCCAGTAACCTTTACATCCTTTCTACTTTCTGCCCAACGCTTCCTTTCCTTCTCCGCTGCACCCTTCCCCGCGTCGTCATCACCCCTTCTGTTATCAGTATCTCCCCTTTTCACTCTCTTACGTCCTTTACTCTCCTCCCTCTCATCCACCCCTCGCTCTCCATCCCCCCCTTCTATATCCTCCCTTGCCCTCCTCTCCTCCTTTATTTCTTTCCTACTCGAACCTTCTTCCTTTCCCTCTTCAATACTCCCCGTACCCTCCTTCCCTCCTTCCCACCTTTTCTCCCCTTCCCCATCTTCCTGCGTCCCCTCCTCCCGCGCAACCCCTTCCCCCACTTTCCCCTTATCCGCCGTCTTTCCTCCCCATCTTCTCCTGCTTCTTATCTCGCTCTCCCCTCCAACCCTCCCCTCTCGCCCTCCCTCCTCCCCTCCTCTCTCTCCTTTCCCCTCTCCCACGTCCTTCCCACTCGTATACCCCGTTTTCCCCTGTCTCTCCGCTTCTCCCGCCTCCCCCCCGCCAGTTTCCCCGCGTGCTACAATCTCCGGGGTTGCCGAGCGCTCCTCCCGCCTTTCCCGCACCAGCTTGCGCACCCTTCCCCCAAGACCGCTTCCCCCCCGGCCGCCTCCGCTTGCGCCGACCCTGCCATCTCCCCCTCCATTCCCCGCAGCTTCCCTCTCCGCCGCCTGACCACCTTCCGCGCATGCCGCGGCTTCCCCCGCACTTGCGCGCGCGCTCTTTTCCTCCTCTTCCGCGCGCCTGCCACCACTGAGCGGAGATGGCCTATCTTGCGCAGACAAGCGCAGATGCGCATTGCGCGCCGGAGAGCCCCCGAGCGGCGAGCGTTGCGCTTCCGCCCGGTCGGCGGCAGGCGGAGTTCTTGCGGAAGCAAGCGGGGGTACGGGGGATCGATGCGCAGAGGAGGTGGAGGACGGGGGAGGAGATGGAGCGGAAGGGGAAGAGGATGCGGAGGCCGGGCGAATCGGGTCCTTCCGGTGTCTTATGACGGAGATTGGCCGTGTGGCAGCTGCTGATTGGCCGTCTGGATCCCAGCGGATGGGGGAGAATTTTCGCTTCTTGGGTTGCGAATCTGGCTCGGTAGCATGTTCTTGTGCCGATTCCATCCGCGAAAACGATAATAGCGAGCGGAAGGAAAGGACCAGTGAGAAACGCAGAAGAATATGAGTTGAAGAGGTATGATCCACGGCGATCTAAAAAGCCGTGCTTGTCGCTCTTGACCAGTAGTTACTGCAATTGACTAACTGCGCTGGTTAGTAATTTTCGAGGTTATACACGACAGGGCATAACGCCTCGTAAGTGCGTGCCGGGCCCTTGTAAGTGCAGGTAGGATCCTAACCTAACGAGGTTTCAGGCAGCCATAAACTCGGATCGGGTCTACAAGTAGGGTCAAATTCCGCGGTCAACCATTGCCGTGTCTCGTTTGAGTTTCGAACCACCGAATTCTTGGTAAAGTAGTGGTGTACAAATACGACAGGAAATGCAAAATATGATGAACATAGAAAACATGTTCACCCAATTACATTGCAGTTCTGCTTTTCTCGAGCACTTCTAAGAATATTCGTCATGCTTCACCAAGCGTCAGGTTTGGAGTCTAAATTGGGCACCCTAATTTGCTTCCTGCTCACGAGGGGTCCGAGTTCTAAAAGCGAACTCTATTATGGCACGACTAACGCAACACTAATTGCAACACATAGGAAAAAAAGAAAAACCCTGGTTATGTTACACTATTCATGCTAACAAACTTTATGTATCCAGCCACGCGACGCTAATTGGTCTTTTTATCCGTGGCCGTAGGTTGCTCCGTGGTGGGCTCTGCAGGAGGCCCCCCAGCCTCCCCAGCAGCCACATCACCAGCTGCAGCAGCAGCTGCATCACCAGCAGCATCACCAGCTGCACCAGCAGCATCACCAGCTGCAACAGCAGCCATAGATTCTGTTTCTCTCTTTTCCTCAACTCCTGCAGGAGTAGAAGCCGCCGCAGCCATCTTGGCAGCAGCAGTGGCAGGGCGGTAGACTAGTACAGGCATGGTGCAGTGGTGCACACAGTACTCTGATACACTCCCCAGCAGCAGCCTGGCAGGAGAAAGACAGGACAAGAACCAAAGGTGTGGACGTAGGATCCCATGGGATTGACGTGACAGGGAGGCACAGAGGGGCAAGACGTAGAGAGGTCATTTCAGGAGGACGAGGAGAGTGAGGAGTGACTTCATGAAATGCGCGGCGAGGAGGACAGAAGAGAGAAAAGGCAAAGTACATGGAGTCCCCGGACCTTCCTTCAGCCCTCACTCTATACCCCTTCTTTCTCCCTCCTTCCCACTCTTCCAAATCCCCCCACCCCTTCACCCCCCAGTTCCCCACCTATACCCCACCACACTAATCCAATCCACTCTTCCTTGCCTACCCTCTCCCTTCCCACTTTCCTTCCGGCCCCCCTGCCCCTCTTTCCCCCTGCCCCACTGCCCCTCTTCCCCCTGCCCCCCTGCACCCTGGCCCCCCTCTCCCCCCGTCTCCCGGGCACCTCTGCAGCGGTCCATGGCCGCGGCTGCCGACGATGACGAGGTCAGCGGTCACCTCAGTGGCCAGCTCCACCACTGCTGTGCGCGCATCCCCCGTGTGCACGCGCACCTCCGCTGCCACCTGATGCCCATGCACGTGCCCATGCCCATGCCCATGCCCATGCTCACGCCCACGCCCACGCCCACGCCCATGCCATCATGCCACGCCCATGCTCATGCCCAGGCCATGCCATGACACGTCAAGTTCAGTCTTGAAGTTTTGGTCCTTGCTTGCCTGAATATATTGATAGTTTTTATCTGCTATGCACACACACGTACATTCGTACATACATGTGCGACTGCAGAAGAACGACACAAGAGCAGCATCGGGGAGACTAGGCCCGAGAAATGGAACCGGCGTGGCGGGGTGCACGGACGAAGCACGGAGGCATGGGGAGGAGATTGGAAAGGCAGGCAGGGAGAAACGAAGGGACAGAGTGAAGGAGGGGAGAGGCAGACGGATTAGGGTAGGAAAGGCAGGCAGGGAAGGCAGGGAGGCATGCAGGATGGGCAAGAGGCAGAGAGGCAGGGAGGGGAGCAGGGAAGGCAGGAAGGGCAGTGAGAGGCAGGAAGGGAGGGAGACAGGGAGGGGGGCAGGGAGGGGGGCAGGGAGGGGGGCAGGGAGGGGATGGTGACCTGGTGTTCAGCACAGGCGGCGCGAGCTCGGTTGAGCAGGGCCAGGGCGGACGACTTGCGGCGGTGACTCTCGTCCTTCACGAACGAGTCGCTCAGATGCATGCCTGCACCCACGGGCACCCACAACAACAACACACACACACACACACACACACACACACACACACACACACACACACACACACACACACACACACACACACACACACACACACACACACACACACACACACACGCACACACACACACGCACACGCACACGCACGCACGCACGCACACACGCACGCACGCACGCGATGTGGGAGAAAATAAGACCCCAAGAAAACGGCGACCACCACCATAGCAGCAGCCACCACCACCACTATAACAGCAACAACAACCACCGCGGCGAAACAAGGCGTGTCTCAGCTGACCTGGCCGGCCGGTCATCCCGGTGTACGAAACAACGGGCGCCACGGCGGACATGAGCACGAGGCGGTCGTGGGGCGGCCGCACGACGTTCTCGAGGGCCCACCGCAGCGCGGCCCAGCTGCTGTCCGAGCAGTCCAGCGCCATGAGAATCGTGCGATGCCCCGCGCGCTGCGGCGCTCCTAACGGAGGCGTGACCTCTGTGGGTTGGTCGGATGTGGTGGGATCTGGTTCTGCGCCGGACGTTGCGGCGGTTGTAGCAGCTGTTTCTTCCATCCCGACAATCAGTGGAATTGATTCAGAGAGAAAAGAAGGATCTGAGATATTAATCTCAGCAGCAGATTCGTGAAAATCGCGGTCAAACTAAGATGAGGGAACGGCAACGACGAGTATAACTGACACCTCCCTTCACCGCATGTTCGATTGCAATCAACGGACGGGCTGTGGTTCTGATGTTCGAAATTTCTGAGCCTAGCCTAGAAAACTATTCCGATGTTTACAGCAGCAGAGTGGTTGCTTGCGCCTCCCAGCTTTGCCGAAGGGGAGGCTGGAGTGAAGCGATTGCGGATCGAGATGCAAAGCTCCAACTTTCCTCACACCCCTTTCCACCACATGAATACCCTTTTTCCAGCGCTTATGCAACCCCTACCAGTGGTGCTAGCAACGCGTTCCGTACTCATGGTTCTGTTCTCCCAACCAAGCCATTTCTGAAAATAAGAAATATTTTTTGGCCTCACCATCTGACGCACCCATCAGCAACTTTGACATGGCGCTGTGATGGGGCACGTGTTTGACGGGCTTTGGTAATAAAGAAATGCCACCGTGGCACTAGTCGGCGCGCTTTATCGACCAGCCCCAGAACAGATTGTCCTGCCCTAACTAGAGTACAGTAATCTGTTGAAGTCATTTAAGCGCTAACCTTTTAAAATAAAAGGACAAAACTGAAAGGTCTGTTTACACAGAATAAAACAATGAGTTAATTCACACTACTAAACATAAATATCGAGTGAAGAACAGGGGACTTCGACAAACCAGAGAGTTAAATGGATACATATTTAGCGACAACACCATCAGCAACCCACGTAAGATGACCACCCCACCACTTCATACACAAACATTTGCAATGTCTCACCATCCCACACTCATACCACCATTCTACTCCACATTTGTGTTGCGTCACAACACAAGCACAACCCTGTGCATTGACTTACAACCTTCCACGAACACAAGGACCCAATGGCAAACACTTTTTGCACCCCTTCAACCCATCATCCCCCTCCATATTACCTCCACCCATATTCCCCAGCAATGCAGCTGGCAGCCACACCAAAAGTGTGCCCCCCCTCCCACCCTCCCCTCCCTGCCTGCCCCACCCCACCCTCTTCCAACAATCCATACACTGTTACCAACCCCTCCCACATCCCCCTCCTTCTCCCCCTCCCTTCCCCAGGCCCATCATCCACCCCTGCAGCCCGGCATCCCCCCGCGTGCGTGACTGACAGCAGCGCAGCGCCTAGCAGGGCGTCTTGCAGGGCGGGCTCCGACACGAGGGCCACGTGGGCGCGCCCGGTTTGCACGTGGGCGGGATCTTGGCTTTCGCGCAGCACCCCTTCTGGCTCCCCGACGGCGGCGACGTGGTCTTGGGGATCGCCGCGAGCAGGCGCCGCCGCCCGGACGAAGTCGGCGGCGGCAGGTAGTAGTTGGCTTCAAACAGGTAGAACTCATACGGGTTGATCTGGTCGTTGGTGGGCTTGAGGAACACGTAGGCGGCGCGGCCCAGCAGCCCGTCCGGGTCGTCGGGGTAGAGCTTGACGATGACCACGGAGATCACCTCGTCTGCCTGCAGGTCCGGCGGGTTCGTGCCCGACAGGTACGTCTGCAGCAGCGGGAGGGTTTCAAAGTCCAGGTTCACCTGCGTGCGGTTGAACTGCAGGGGGCGGTGTTGGGGAAGAGGGGGGTTGGGATGGGGATGGGGATGGGGACGAGGGAGTGGGGGAGAGAGGGGGGGGGGGAGGGGGGGGGGAGTGGGTAAGAGGGAGAGGTATTAGTACATGATTGATGCGTGGGATGTTAGCAGGCCAGGTTAGGGGAGTTGGTCTGTTCAAACAAGATCATGTCGAAGAGCGCTGCGGATGGAAGGCGGATTGATCAGATCAGAGCTCAAACAAAGGCCCTTATGCTATGGCATAGCATTTCGACATGGCCCCAACGGCTCACAGTCAGGTTGGCAGAGAGGCCAGGGCCGACGGAGAAATCCGCGGGCAGGCCGAACTGCGTGAAGTCAAGGCCGGTGACGCTGAGGTCCGTGACGCCGTTGTTGGTGAGCGTCATCTGCACCGTCTCGTTCACCAGCGAGGGGTCGGGCGCCGGGCCCCAGAGAGGCAGCGTCCACCCCTGGCGGATGAAGAAGGACGGCAGCGGCGCCGGGTAGATGCTCAGCCCGTCGTCGCTCACGAGTAGGGTTTCCTTGATCTCCACGCAGAACGCGCCGAAGGCTGTGGCGGACGAGGGGGAGAGGCGGGGAGGGAGGGGGCGGAGGGGGCGGGAGGGGGGAGGGAGGGAGGGAGGGAGGGGGGGAGAGAGAGAGAGAGAGAGAGAGAGAGAGAGAGAGAGAGAGAGAGAGGGAGAGAGAGAGAGAGAGGGGGGGGGGGAGGGGGGGGGGAAGAAAGAGAGGGGGGCTAATTGGGTAGGCTGCGACAGAGAAGGATACTCGGAGGAAGGGGACGGGGAATGGGGCTGGGGGGGGTGGCTGGCAGCGGAGTGGCGGGAGGGAAAGCAAGAAAAGCAATAGCAGATATTGAGAGCAGGTGCGCGGAGTATCGAGGGGGGGGGGGATAAGGAACGAGTGCGGTCCGAGCTGCGCGGGTGGACGGGTGAGAGGTGGAAGAAAGAGAGGGGAAAATTAGGAGTACGCAGGGGAGCGCGCAGGAGCCGTGCGAGGAGCAACTCACATGCGACAGAGCGACTCACATGCGACGGAGCGACTCACATGCGACGGAGCGTCTCGCATGCGACGGAGCGTCTCACATGCGACGGAGCGGCTCACATGCGACGTTGCGTCTCGCATGCGACGGAGCGTCTCGCATGCGACGGACCGTCTCACATGCGACGGAGCGGCTCACATGCGACGACGAGCGCGCGACTCACATGCGACGACGAGCGCGCGACTCACATGCGACGACGAGTGCGCGACTCACATGCGACGTTGGACATGTTGCCGATGAAGAGCTTGTTGGCATTCTCGAAGTTGGTCTCGAGCGACGTGGTGGACTTGAGACACAGCGCCAACACCGAATCCACTCCCGCCTGGCAGGGGAGACGGCGGGAGCGGCGGTGGGGAGGGGGGAAGGAGGGGGGACGGAAAAAGAATGGCGGGAGGACAGGAGGAGTGGGGGGAGGTGAGCAGACGTTAGTTGGTCTCGAGCGACGTGGTGGACTTGAGACACAGCGCCAACACCGAATCCACTCCCGCCTGGTCGGCGGTGATGTGGGGGGAGGAGGGGGAGGCGGAATGGGGACGACGGGGAGAGAACGAGCGGTGAGGGGAGGATGGTGGGGAGAGGAGGAGGAGAGGGGGAGGAGGGGGGGAGGAGGAGGGGGGGAGGAGGAGGAGGGGGGAGGGAAGGAGGGGGTGGAATAGCGCGCCAACTCCAAGTCCACTCCGCCTGCGAGCGCGCGCACGCATGCTCATATACGGACGCGCACGCGCACGCGTGGACGAGCGCGCAGAGATGGACGCGCGCCAACGTGCCCAGTTGCGCGGCTCGGAAGGATGACGGGTGACGGGGAGGGTAGTCGGATGGACAAGTGGATGGGCCGGAAGGAGGGAGGAGGACTTATTGGACGGGCGAGAAAAGGCGAATGTTGAGAGTCCTCACAACAGTTCTACAACACGATGAAAGGGACGGACGGAAAGTTGAACGGACGAGAACGCGGCGAAGAGAGGCCGAAAGGGAATGGTGGTGAAGCGACTAAAGAACACTTGGGTTGAACTGATTTACTGTTTTGAGGCGACTTAAAAGTCATGACACTTGAGTACACGGAGTCTCGAGACGCGACTAATGACAAAAGGCAAAGATTGGAGTGGCAGTGCTAAGGGGGAGGCTCATGGAACAAAGGAAAGAGTGACAGCTCCAACGAAGAATGACAGACGAAAGAAAGAGACTTGGCGCCAAGGTGCAATTCGTAAGCCTGCAGCAATCCGCAGGAAGTTGCACGGAGGGATACACGAGGGCGACGAATCTAAGAAATCTAAGAACTCACTCCGACTTTCGATTTGCGCAGCGCGGGGTTGCGCTGGCATTCCGAGTACGGCACGTTGTAAGTAGCGGCGGACATGTCAGTCTCGGCAGGCGCGAGGGGGGAGGCTAGTAGGAGAAGCGTCAGCGTCAGGACTAGGCCGAGAGAGGAGGGCACGCGTTGGTGTGGGGACGCATGGCGATTGTGTGGAGCCATGGCGGCCAAAGGAGTGAGTTGCGTTTGAGCGTTCTGCAAGAGCAGCACGCTAAGACGAGCGACAACCGATGAGAGACGACAGAGGAACTAGAAGAGACGAGGAACGGTGGAGGAGGACAGAGCTTGCTAATGATCAGTACCAATTTTGTCGATTCTCCAGCGCCAACGAAACCCGACGCGCAGTATAGCAGCAGAAGCAGACTCACCGCAAACTATCTTAGTACGTTAGTATGACTAGTTATTACGCACACAGTTACCCTAGCTCCTAATAGGCAGTTACTGACCGTACACAAACAAAATGGAGCACGAGAAAGACAAGCACGAGCGCAACGTGCGGGCGGGGTGAGAGCGAAAAAGAGTTTTTTCGGGTGTTGAGCGCTGCTCTGCTGGGTCTGTGGTGGTGCGCGCGGGGGCGGAATTGGGCGCGCGGACAATGTTTGTTTCATTGCGAGCCAGCCGCGGGGTCGGGGGAATATGCGGTATGTTGCGGTGGAGTGGAGTGAGAGGGGGGGAGGTAGCATGCGCGGAGAGAAGGGGAATTGCGGGCTGGATGACAGTTTCCTGCTCGTATGAACCTCTGAGTCCAGGTCACTAGGATGGTGGCTGGCGGAGGTGTGACTGTTTCTTTGGCCTGGCGGAGCACGGGAAGGACCGGAGGGGACAAGAAAGCGGCAGCGGGCTTGCGCCACAGAATTGAAGAGCAGAGAGTTCCGCGCAGGTGCTGCGCAGACGAGCCAGCTGGGGCAAGGCTGGGGGGACGGGTCACGGTGGGAGTAGGTTGACTGGATCTTTGTGGGAATGTGAGTTAGGGCGCACTCGTGATCTTGCTGATCAGGATCTGATCAGACAGGATCCCAAATCAATCCAAAACATGGACGAGAAAGACCCTGCATTGAGATGAAATGAACCCGGTTCAATTAATCCATACTGCTCGGAACAAAACGATGAAACATGCTCTATTGAATGGCTCGTCAGAAGGATCCCGTAGACGGGCAACCTGGGGTTCCTGAATTTTTTCCAGCCAGCCAACCATTTAGTGTTGCGCTCCTTTCTCCCAGAGGAACAAGACCGTCCCACAGTACACGACAAGATTCCCACCGAACATCACATCCCAAACCAACATCTCCAACCAACCACGCCCCCAACGCAATATCCCCGTAACTACTGTTGCGCTTACAGCAAAAGTTCAGTAGAGATTTCACAACATACAATGAGGAACTTACCTACTGCCTACAAATTAAGATCTATTGGGCCTATGAATCAGGTACTTCTAAATGAATGTTAAATGGGCTTAGGCGATCCAAGACCGCTCGCCAGCCCGACGAGCACACCTCTAGAAATAACAGCACGAGTACTTGCGCCAGTCGGGCTCCTAGAATACCCGACATAACTCTGACCTCGGCTGCTGCAACTACTACTGCTTCTACTGCTGCAGCAACTCCCACCATCCCACCCAGCTGCTCCACCTGCTCCACTCCCCTGCGATGATCTCCTAATCTCCACATCCACATCAACAATTTTCACAGCCACATTTCCATGTGGTGCCTTCTCTAGTGTTTTATGTGGTAGCTCGGTAATGGGCTCAGATGGCAGTCGAAGAGAAGCAGGCCTTTGACCGCCTCCTACCTTCTTAGTGGGGGACGCAGGCACAAGGGGAGCCGCACGGGCGAGCCTCACAGGGAGTGAGGGAGGGGGGACAGAGCTGCTGGGGGGTGCCACCATGAAAGGGCATTGCTGTGGTTGCGATGCCATCACTGCTGCTGTTGCAGCAGCAGTGCTGCTGCTTGTAGCAATGGTGGTGGTCATGGACGTGCTGCTGCTGCTGCTGGAGGCACTTGCACCTGCAGCTGTTGCACTAGCCTCTGCTGTGAATAAACAAGCAGGCATAGCAGCAGCAGCTGCTGCTCCCACTGCTGCTGTCACCTCCACCATTGCCGATGCAGCTGCACCTGCGCCCATACTGCTATCCCCATGCATAGCACCCACTCCCTCTGCCAAGACCCCCCTCACAACACCCTCTCCACCATCCTCCTCTTCAGACGCACCATCTCCCTCTGTATCAGCCTCCTCGGCCAGCATCTCTGCCTCAGCTGCAGCGGCAGCAGCAGCTTCAGCAGCAACTGCTTTCGCCTTGACTCGGGAGCTGGCAGCAGCAGCAGAGGCCATGGCTCGCAGGCGCAGGGCGAGCGGACGCACCTTGGCCAGAGCAGCAGTGGCAGCATCCAGGTTGCGATCTACCAGAGGCAGTGGGTCCGGCCACAGGGACAGGGCTTCACACACCCCTCCTGCCCTCACCTCATGCCTCGCCTCGTGCTTCACTTCATGCCTCAGCTCCCATCTCTCGTCCGTGCCATCAGCCCCCAATCCAAGATAGCCACTGCTACTGCTGCTGCTGCGACCACTGCTGCCGCCGCCGCTGCAACTACTGCTTCCACAGCTGATGCCACCACCGCAACCATTATCTTCTCCTTGTTCTTTCCCTGCTTCCTTGTCCTCCTCCCCCTTCACCACCACAAAAGGCTCAGCTTCGGCATCGGCATGATCTGCAGCAAGAGCACCACCCGCAGCCAGTGATTGCTCGGCCTCCAGTGCGACCTCTTCCAACACGCCGCTGCCACCCACACTATTCCTGCCCACCAACAATTCCTGCTCGCAATCAAGAGTCTCTCCTCTTGCCGTCCCTTTCCCGCCACAATCGTTTGCCTTCTCAACACCTTCCTCTTCTCGTTCTTGTTCCTCGTCCTCTTTTTCCGCCGGCGCTTGGCTCTCCCCCCTCTGCTCCTCCAGCTCTCCTACTCTCATCCCCGCTTTGTCCCCGCATAGTGCATCTGATTCTTCTGACCCTTCCCTCTCCGGTGGGACAGCCTCTCCCTCAACCACCTCCTCTTCACACTCTTCTTCCTCTACTCCACGGATGGAACACCCCTTCCCCCCACTCTCCCCTTCATTCTCATCTTCCCTCACTCCCTGGGCACCCTCTCCCTCGTCCACCTCACTCGCAATGCTTTTTTCACCAACAGGAGCAACACCATCACGAGAAGCAGCAGAAGCAGCTGTAAGAGAAGCACAGGACTCAATAGATGCAGCAGCAGCAGCATCATCATCAGCAACAGCAGCAACGCCACCTTCCCAACTCAGACGTTGCGTCCCTTCCATCGTACTCTCCCTGCCCTCCTCCCCTTGGTATCCACCCGTCCACACGCCATCATCCTCTCCCTTCTTCCCTACAGCATCCACCGTCCCTTGTGTTGCCTCCTCACCAATCCCACCAGCCACACTCGCCTCGCCAACCCCACGCACCTCGCCACCCTCATCCGCCCCAGCACCCGTGTCAGCAACGCGTTCCACGTGGCCCTCACAATTATTCCCCCCCGTGCCTGCGCTCACAACACCCTCCACACGCACGTCAGCACCGCTCAACACTCCTCCCCGCCTCTCAGCCCCCGTCAGAACCACATTCGCTTTCAGCACTGCGCCAGGGGCTCGCGCGCCCCAAGGGGGGCGCGCCTTGTCCGCGTCCCTCCCGCCTGCTCCCCCTTTGCCTCTACTACCACTGCCAGCACCTCCGTCCCGCCCGCTGCCGCTGCTATCGCGTGTCAAGCTCCCGCCAAAGTCACCTCCGCTACACTCCTTCCCGCCACCAGCGGTCGTACAACCATTCGTACGTTCAGCATCGCTAGCACTAATACCGCTGCTACAAGTAGCTTTAGTAGTTTTAAGAGGAAAAGAGGTGTGAGTCGTAATCGCGAGGCGGGCTCGTCGATTGCGGCGCCCTGTCGCATCGCCACCAGCAGCAGCAGTAGGCCTGGCAGATGCCAGCGCAGCAGTACGCGCCACCAGTAAACTCCTGTGGCCGACCCCGCCACCGCCGCCGCCGCCACCGCCTCCGCGACCACCGCTGGCAGTACCACGAGAGCTTTCGGAACGACTTCGATCACCCATTGAACAGCTGGGGGGGAAGCTGATGCGCCGGCTGCCGCCGCTACTCCCCACGCTTCTCCCCGCGCTTCTCTCTGCGCCTCTCCCCGTGTCAATTCTCTCCGAGACGCTCCCGCGTCCTCGTTTCGATACCAGCGCGAGGGAGGTGGGTCGAACGGGGTGGCGCACAGCGGGGAACGCGCCCGCGCAAGTCCACGACGCGGCGGATCTCGTTTCAGAAGCGGCGGAAGTTGTGGGGGATGTAACCGCGGATGGCGACTCGTTCGGCCATGAGGCAAGGCTGGATGGGTAGCTGCTAGCACCGTTAGCGCCATCTCCGCCGTTTACGCTGTTTGCGCCATTCCCGTCGCCGCCCGCCTCCGCGCTGCGCGACTCGGTGGACATTCCGTCCGCGGAGTCTGCGCTATTCTCCGACACCACAGAAGTTACCGCGCATTGGCTGATCGGTCCCAGTAAGTTGCTGCTTGCGCCCGTTGCGCCGTCCCCTTGTTTCCCGCCTGTCGCGCCACCCACTATCGTCGCAGACTCTCCCGCGCCTCCTCGTAGCTCTGCCCCTCTTCCCGCCGCCATTCCGGATCGCGTCCCCCCGCTCTCTCCCCCTCTTCCTCTCCCTCGCTCTCGCTCTCGACCAATCGTACCGTCACTGCCGCGCCCCATACCTCCTGGTCCCTCCTCGTTCCTCGTTCTTCTCCCTCTGCCTATCCCCTTTTCCCCCACGCAACCTCGCCCCCGACCAGTACCTACCGCCGCTCCCGCAACAGCGCCACCTCTTCCCCCTTGGCGGAGCTGCATCTTCAGCCCCTCCCGCAGGCTCCGCGCGTGCTCGCTTTCCGCGCGGTCCATCGACCACCGCCCGCGCTGTTGCTGCAGCTGCCTCTCAAAGTCCGCGTCCGCGCCAGCCCCCGCACCCCTTGGCGCAAGCTTTCTTGCGCCAGCAGCGTTGTTCCGCGCGCACGCCCGCTGCGTGGCGCTGGAATCACTTTGCGGGGGTGCAGTCAAGGTGGAAGCGTGCGGACTTTGGAATTCGCCAGCTAGGACTTTGGAGCGCGGCGGCGGCGGCGGCGGTACCACTATATATCCATCGCGGCGACTCACCATCGACGGCGCCGGCGACGGCGATGGCGACGGCACACTCGACGTGCCCGCGAAGCCGACTATTGAGGCACGGCGAAAGTCACGGCGAAAGTCACGGCGACCATCGTCGTCGCAGGAGCTCCCATCGTCATTATCGGAATCGCATCGAGCAGGAGTGCTGGGCAGCGACAAGTGCGCCGCATAGTGCGGTCGCGCCCTACGGGGAATCCCCGCTGACTCCAATCCGGCATCCGACCCCATTGCGGGGCTTTCCGCCCCAGACCCCGCCACCGCTACAGCCACCGCGCCCGTTCCCGCCATAGCCCCAGGCGCGCAAGATCGGTTTCCGCTCGCGCTCCACGTCCGTCGCTCGCGGAGCGCGGCGGGCAGCGGCAGCTGCGGCGCCGCGGCTGCCTGCGGCGCCGCGGCTGCCTGCGCCGCCGGCGGTTCCACTGCCGTCACAAATGCCGCCGCCGCCGCCACAATGTCCGTCGCACCCCCGTCCGCCCCACCAACGACGGCGGCGACGGCGGAGGCACTGGTCGTATACGAATCTTCTGGTTGTAACGGCGCCTCTCGCGGTGCGATCGTCGTCGTCGTCGTCCGCATCGTCGTTGTCGTCGTCCCCATCGCCGTCGTCATCGTCGTCGTTCTCAACGTCGTCGTCGTCGTCCCGATTGTCGTCGTCGTGGTTGTCGTCCGCATCGTCGTCGTAGTCAACGCGCCGTCGTCGTCGTATAGAGGTAGAGTTGCGCCGGCCACTTCGTCTCCGGCCGCCGCCGCCGCCGCTGCATCACCTGCTGACAAGGGACGGCAGAGCGCCCAGCCATCCCGGTCTCGCAAACCCTCATCATATTCCGGGCCACCGCTGCCGCTGCCGCTGCCGTCGCTGCTGCTCGTACGAGAGTTAATATCCGTTGCGCGGTCGACAAAGAACGACGGCTCCGACGTTTCTGCTGCTGCTGCTGCTACGGCGCTGGCGTCGGCGGCGGGGACGGCAGGATCGGCAGCAGGTGCTGGTTTGCGCAGCGGCGGAATCTGCGGCAGGACGAGGGCCCGCTTGAGCAGCTGATGCACGGAGGAGCGAAAGGACCGCGAGAACGAGCTCAGACGGTCCACGGCTGTGGCACTGCCACCAGCGCGGATGCTGCTACTGCTGAAGCTGCTGCTGCTAGTGCTGCTGTTGCTGCTTGCTGCCGGAATCTCCGCGTCCGACGCTACTACTGCAGCGACTGCTGAAGCTTCTGAAGCTGCCGCTGCTTCTACTGAAGCGAAAGCTGCCTCGGATGACGCCTCGGAGCGAGGCTGCGCTGACGGGACGGCGATTTTCGCATCCACCGAGGAATCCGCATCCGCGGTGCCGTCTACTGCCACCGCTGCCTCTCCGCCATCAGCGCTGCTATCCCCGCGCTCGGAAGAGCCCCCGCCGATCGTCTGGGTGGTGGCATTTTCTGCGGGTATACCTTCCGCAGCCGCAGCGGAGGCGGCGCCGGCAGAATTGTCAATGAGTTGCCAGCGACGCCTACTGATATTAGCAGCGTTGAATCCCGGCCCCGCGCCGGCGGCGGTGGTGCTGATAGTGGAGGCGGCGGCGTCCGCAGTTCTGCTTGGGGTGGCGGCCACGGCGGCGGGGATGCCGTCCCCCGATCTGGTGCGGCGCAGACTGGATTTCTTGCCTGACAACCAAGGGGTTGGGGGAGTGGAGAGGATGAGGTGGGGGTAAGACTAGCGGACAAGGGAGCGGGAGCTGTAGGGAGCAGGGGGGGTGTGGGGAAATCCAGGGAGGGTGGGAAGGGGGGGAGTGTGTCGGGGGAAGGGAGAGGGCGCGGAAGTGGGTGAAAGGCGAAAGCAATATCAATAAGTGCGCACCTAGCTTGCTCGGCGTCGAAAGCTGCGCTTGGTCACAGTGCGATGACGGTTGCGGATGTACGGAGGAGCTTGAGGACCGACGCTCAGTACCTGCACGCGTGGGATGAGGGGAGGAGCAGGCCGATGGTAGTGGCGAAGACGGCGACCATATGATGATGGCTCGAGCAACTGGCTCGTGAGCGTGAGGCACATACAGAAATCTAAACAGATATTGAAAAACAAAAACATACAAACAAAAACAAAGCCTTACTACTACCTCCCCCGACCCCCATCTCCCCCTCTCCTTTCCCACGAGTAGCACAACTTGTAGAAGCGTGATAACAGGCGAGTAGTCGACAAGTAGGTGGAATGTGGGGCTTTCCGTCGGAGAGAGGACGGGGACCATGAACACTCCCGTAGCATTCCTTTCAGAATACCTACTAATTGACGTCGATATACTACTAATCATGACTCAATCCTTGAGATTCTGACTGACGACTCAGAGTCGGCATGGACAGACTCAGAGCCAGTCCGACGGAGCGATACTCATAGTAGTGTCGCTCTATACTACGTTCTCATCCTCGACTCGGTGACCGGCAAACTAGAGCGATACTACTTCACTTGCCTCGCTGGTCAGTCCTCCACGCCATTAGCGTCGGCGCGCGAAGCTCTCGAAGCTCCTTGGCGCGCGCAATCTGTTCTTTGCGCTTCCGCGCGTAGTCTGACGGATCAAAGGTCCGGCTTACGGGAATCGTCATGCTTACAGCTAAGAGAATCGATAGCTGCCTAAAGGGAGAATATTACGAAGCCTTCTAAGAAGACCGCAAGTTGAGCAATCGTTTGGGAACAGCTTTCATTCCAGTTTTCGCGTAGCGGCAGACTGCTGAGAGGTTGTTTAGGCTGGCCATCCCTCGCAGAGTGGTAGCAGCTGGACATCAACATAATGGAAGGTTACGTGCAGAGGGAAGGAGGGTGCCTGTCCGCATCAACTCAACGACATTGTGACAGCGGCATGAGTCACCTCACCTCACATCAGTCCAGTGACCAGTGTCACCCTGTGGGCGTGGACCAGAGCTGTCGTTTCGTTTTGGCCCCCCCGGACAAATCAGGGGGCCCGGCATGTACGACCCTGTATTTAGCAGGGTCGGGGCGAATCTCGGCCCTTTAGGCTTCAGGGCTGAAATTTATTCCTCCCTGTAAATCAGGTTTGCCGCGGAAAATTCTGCAGCCTCAGTTCTACCACAAAGCTGACAGCTGCACTCCGCTAGTATCAAATTAGCTAGTTAGCAATTAAAAAAAAAACTAGTTAGCGTCATTCACTACGCACGCGTAGCAGACTTCCTCCTCTTCCAACTCTTAGCAAAGATCTGAGATGTGTTTTGCTGCTTGCTATGCCCATTCAGGCCTGAGGGTGCACAACATGACGGGGATCTGAGATGTGTTTTGCTGCTGCATGTTGGTTCATGCTACTGTCTGTGTGTCATGGGATGGGAGCGAGGTTGTAATTGGTACAAGTACCAGTTGTTGGCTGAGTTGAATCTGTGGTCCAGCCACGCAACTCCAAATTTGACAGGCTTGAATGCAATCAAAATAGAAACGGGGGGAGGGGGAATGGAGGAGTTTGGGGGGGGGAGGGGGGGGGGGAGGAGTGGGAGGGGAGTTCGAAAGACTTTGTTCCAGGGCTCGCCTAAAATCTACCCTTAACACTCCAGACCTAAGCCCGAAATCAGCCCTGTAATGAATCAGGGCCACTATTTTCTCAACCCATCAATTTCAGTTTTCAAGGGCAACCCATCCCTGGAATTCAAGGTCCAGCAGGGCAAACGCCCTGCAAGCGACAGGCCTGGCGTGGACGATGAGTAAATGCTGAATGTTGCACCCCGCATCGCACATTGCCAGGGATGGGGATGTACTGCGGCTCCATAGAAGACCATTCTCATTCGCCAGCTACCGTATGAACAATTGATGGGGCACCCTCTGGGGCTTGATTGCAAGGGGATGGGGCGAGAGGGGGGATGGGCGGATTGACTAATGGGGTGCCCTTAAGTGGAGGGGCATATGCATTTCTGTGTGGCACCGAGTGTAGCCCGTTCTTCCCGGGGGTGAAGGGGGTGCGAAAGTCAACATGCGGCTCGGGCGGGTTGGCAATGTCGAAATCAACGTGCAATGGGAAAGTTTGTTTTCGAGGCGCCACGAAAAAACCAAAGGCGTTGGGGTGCCAGAAGGGGGTTGCACATGGCGGGAACTTCAACGTGGTCCAGATGGTCGGAGTACAGAGGAACAAAAAACATCTGCCAAGAAAACATTTTTGGGTTGCGTAGCAACCCTTTATATTTGGTTTCACATTTTGGGGATATCATTCAAAGAGTGTTATTTACGCACTTTTTGGAGCACTCGTTTGAATGTTTTGAAACTGTGTTCAAACGGATGCCTCAAAGAGTGGATAAAAAACACTCTTGAAT